GCACAAGACCTCTTTAAAGTGTTGAAAAGCAAAAATGTCAGCTTGAAGACTAAGGTGCGCCTGACCTAAATCATGGTATTTTCAATAACCTCATATGCATGCGAAAGCTGGACAGTGAATAAGGAAGACTGCAGAAGAGTTGATGCTTTTGAGTTATGGAGGGTCAGAGAAAAAGAGGAAGATCCCCCCACCAACGAAATGGATTGGCCAAGTGGCAGCATCTATGGACTCAAGCGTGGCAACAGTAGTAAGGTTGGCCCAGGATCGGGCAGTGTTTCGTTCTGCTGTGTGTAAGGTCACTGCAACTAGATGGCACCTAACAACAACAAAAGCCCTACAAGGGCTGGTGTGACAACTTGATCCAGTTCGACATTTTTGCTTTGCTGTGAGGAGTCACTGACCTCTTTGCACTGCCATAACCAAAAGTCCCTAAATCTAACCAGATGAATTTTACACAGATGTCCCACACTTTTCGGAAGAGAAGCTCGTCTCAATTTCCCCGAGTTCTGAAGTTGTTGTTGTGTGCTGTGGAGTCAGTTTCAAATAACAGTGACCCTGTCTGTATAGGGTTTCCAAGGAATGGCTAGTGGATTTGGGCCATCAACCTTGCGGTTAGCAGCACCATACCAGAACTCCAAAGAGAGACTCTTTTACTGTCAAGTGAATTCTGACTCCTAGCGACCCTGTAGGATGAGGAGAACCACCCCCGGGGATTTGCAAGGCTGCCTTATAGCATAGCAAACTGCCTCATCTTTCTCCTGTGAAGCAGCTGGTAAGTTTGAACCACTGACCTTTTGGTTAACAACTGAATATTTCACCTCTGTGCTATCCGGGTGCCTCCGAGATAGGATAGCAAATGTGAAATCCTTGACCTTACTCTGGAATCATTCAGCTCAGTCATGGAGAGGGAAATGGATAGCCCATGCCAACCAGAGAAGTCCATGTTAATGGTACATGGTTTGAAGATCCACCAAAACCTTCCATATGTGTCAGGAGACTACATTAGCCATGTTCATTCTAGAACCTCTTTGCATATTTGAACTTAGTAAGTGCCGTCAAGTTGGTTCCAACTCATAGCTACCCTGTATAGGATTTCCAAGGAGATATTGGATTTGAACTGCTGACCATTTGGTCCGCAGTCCAGTGTTGATCTACAGTGCCAAACCAGGAGTCCATATTGGAACTGTTGTTGTTGTTGTTGTTGTTAAGTGCCATCGAGTCTAGGTGACCCAAAATCATTAGTTCCAGTAGCAAAAGAGAATGGATTTCTATTATAGTTCAAAAATCTCTTTGCCTGACTAGCAATGTAAGGACAACTCAATTATTCCATAATCTCTGAAGTTAATTTCCTTTTCAGTAAACAGGAATTGCTCCATAGAGTGTTTGGAGGATGAACAAAATCAGACATTTTGATTCCCGAGCAGTTTGTGTAACATGTTGTTGTTGTTGTTATGTGCCATGGAGTCAGTTCTGACTCATGGCGACCCTGTCCAGGGTTTCCGAGGCTGTAAATCTTTACGGGAGCAGAAAGCCTCATCTTTCTCCCGCAGAGCAGCTGCTAGTTTCGAACTCCTGACCTTAAGGTTCTCAGCCTGATTCGTAACCACTACGGGTAGCTGCTATTATTATTGATGGTATTTTGTATTACGGTTGTTATCTGAAATTCTTGAGGAAGTAACTATTTCAGATCAATACTGACTAAAGAACTTGTGATACACACTTACTTTTCAACAGCAGAACGTTTCTGCGATTTCCCTTGGTAGTTCAAAGCCATTTTAGTTTCCATCCCCGTGTAAACAGCAACTCCTTAGGAATAACAGACTACAATGAAAACAAGGTTACAACTGAACTTGCCACCAACTATTTACCCAGGCCCTCTTGTACTCACCAGTTGGTATAGCATTTATAGTGTGATTTAATTCTATATAGTTTACTTATCATATTTCATATAAATTCACCATCTTGTAAACTCCTAACACCTAAAATAGGTCTTTATATAACAGCCATGTTCAATTTTTACCAAGCACTGTTTATTCACTGGCTATGCAAAGCATATTCCTGATGAGTGTATCTTTAAAAGTATTCACCATATATCTTCTTGGTATTTTTTAATGTAGCTCCTTTCAGCAAGAGGTTTTCAGGCCCCAACGACCTAAATAAATAAAAACAGGGTATTCAAACAACCCAACACACATTATCAACTGTGGGGACATAATTTGCCCCGGTACAGATCTAGCTCCAAGAGGGTCAGAATTTATCTGTCTACTTCTAACATGGGTGTACAGTCCTTCAGGCTCGCTCAAAGATCCCTCCCCACTGTGAAGTTACTTGAGGGTATAGCTTCATACGCAGCACTACATCAAGAATAGGTCAAAGAAGAAGACGGTGAGAAACAGGATGACAGATAAAAAGAGACTGGGAAAGCCAACATCAGGTGGGAAGATACATTGATACAGTTCTAGAGAATATATCAACTTGGGGGGGATCACTAGGCACCTTGCAATTATTGCATTTGATTTTCACTATGGCTCGAAAGGACAAGTGGAAAAGGTAAGGTAAGTTACTGGATTAGAGAAGGAGGAGGAAAACAACTCTATGTATATGAGCTGCCCAATTATAAATGATCAGACTTTCATTTCACTAAGTCCGGGTCGTTCTCCTAGCATTGCACCCACTGCCCTGTACGCTCAGTTACTCTCCCTTACAATGCTCTCCATGTATACTTTCATCATCGTCAGGCACTGCACAAGCAATGAGAATGAATACAATGGACAGAGCAGGTTTGGGATTATCAGTCCAACAGTCTGATGCTGTGCTATTTATTTTGTCAAGGGTTAAGCATCATTTCAACATTCTCCCCACCACTCCCCCATCCTGCCCCACATACTGAGAGACCTTAGCAATCACAAGATTAGTTACTTAGGACCCATTAGTGGGCACTGGCTCTAGATTTATTTACCAGATCTAGTCACCTTTACATACCTTTCTAAAAAGAAAGGCATCTATTACAATGGGCTTATAAGAGAAACATACCCCACAAAGGACAAAATAAAGGAATAACTAACCTGGCAACAGCCTCAAGACTATTACTGTAGATATTGATTCGCCCAACAAACCTACAAAAAGAACATCCAGGTAAAATTCATATACCACAAATAGAGGAAAGAATCAAGACATAAATAATGCAAAAGAGACCTTCATGACTCTGAAAGAACTACAAAAGCCTGTTAACAGTTTGAAAACAGTCATGTTGAACTGGTAAAGTGTGTAATGTTTGTAACTGACTGTAAAAAGAATTATTATGGCTTACATGAATGTTTAAAAAAGAAGATTCTAGATTGATTTTGAAAACTTACAGTCTTCTGCATACCACGTTTGGTGGTTCTTAGAGTTGAGTATGCATCAGATTGTTGAACCCCACTCTTGAGCTTCTGGTTCAGGGGAGAATTTGCATTTCTAGCAGGTTCTTGGGTGATGTAGTTGTTCAAGGGGACCATTCACTAAGAGTCACAGCATTAGTCTCACAGAGTGAACATTTGATGAGACATTTTGACATTCCTTGCCTCTGTCTTGTAACAGATCTCATTACTGAGCTTAACCTAAGCACTTAATGTGGCTAGGTGCACAGTAACTACATCATAAACACTTGTGAATTTACTGTGCCTACACTTTCTCTTTTGCAAAATGGGACGCAAAAAGGCCTGAACCCTCCTTCATGAGAATCTTATGGGTACTTTACAATATAGATGATAAATAGTCTTTGTTTTTCATTAGAAACACAACTATTTTATATTATACTATGTACAGAAGCTCTGGTAGTGTAGTGGTTATGAATCGGGCTGCGAACCTTAAGGTCAGCGGTTCGAAACTACCAGCCGCTCTGCGGGAGAAAGATGAGGCTTTCTACTCCCGTAAA